AGTTAGCCCTCTCTTTCCCTTCCCATCCCTCTGCCTTCTTACAGCGGAAAGAAACCGAGTGCACTGGTTTACCCTACCCTATCCCACCTAACTAATCCACCAGTTTGCGAACTGTACTCTTCCTCCAGAGTCCACTCAGTCTGACGCCAGTTTGCCATTGACCGCCCAGGTCTCCCCGAACCATTTCAGCCCCGCTCTTCGTCCTTGCCCCCTCGGCACTTTGCTCTTCCAGCCTGCAAGGATTATCTTTCGCGTCATGGTCTTGAATGTCGCTTTGATCTCTGGGTCCGGCATGATCTTGCCCTGGAAGAGAGAATCGATCTGTTTCGTTCTGTCCAAATGATCCAGAAGCCAGTCGCCCTGAAGACTTGGGCTATATAGCCCCATCCTTTGTCCAGCTGCAGATTCTCTGCGAGTCCCCCCAGGAGGACCCAGTCCATTACATTATCTGAGATTTTATTCCACTGATCTATCCACCATCTCCATATCCTTGCGCTCGCTGGACAGTCCCACCAAATGTGGACTGTTGACTCAAAGGACCACAGACAGCGTTTACATTGCGGATCTACCTCCAGGCCTCTTGACATTAGCCAAACCGCTGACCGTGTGGCCAATAGTGAGGCGAGCCAAAGAATTGCAGCAATTCTTTGGTTCGGTGCGTTCGCCAGCTGCGCCCAGCATCTCTTTAGTGCCCACGTAATCTTCTCTTCGTTTGTTGGGTTGATTTGGGTCCACCTTTCTGTTGCCACCATCAACGGTAATCGTTCCTTCTTCTGAATTTCATACCCCAGTTGCAACGAGTATTCTACCAGAGTCAAGTTTTCCCCCTGCTTTCCTCTGCCCCTCCAGGTCCATTGCTCCGGATCAACTTTTAGTTGATTAACGGTCTTCCTCCTGCCCGCAGTTCGGCTTTCCGCCCTCCGGTCTCTTCCACTTTTTCCACCACCCGGATTTCTTCAATCGGACCGTCCGGTATTGTCACTCTTACTCTAGCTTGAAGTTCCTCTTCTGGCTCCAGTCTGGAGTCCGAGCCTTGTACTAACCTCCACCGTTGAAAGATTCTACCCCCTTCGACTGGGAGTTCGGTCAATTTCAGAAAGGTGGTCTCTTCAGTTCTTGACTGCACCGAGTACCATGTGCCCGGAGGGTTGACACCTTCAGGACTTAGCAGGAAGGTACATTCATTTGGCAAGGCATTGATGATTTCCTTGCAATTCCTCTCCACCTGTCTGCAGTTCTTGAGCTTCAGTTGTAGTTCATCTCCTGAGTGCCATCTGCCTTCCACAGGGTTCCACAGATCTCTCACCCTTACTACTCCAATCTCCACCCATCTCCTCCCGTAGCTGCCTTTGGCCGTGTTTGCCATAATCATTTCGCCGTTGTCCTTCCTAATTAGCTGATTCTCAAAAATGATCTGAGACAGGACTTCTTCTTTCGTGGCAGGCTGCGACACCATATCTGGTATCACTTCTTTCCAGGCCTGAAGTACCGCCGACCAGAACTCCGACTTTACTTTCCTTCTGAGGAAGGAGTCTATCCACACACAGGCCCAGACGTCCTCCGATCTTGCTAGCTTCCATTCCTTGCCCATAATTCTTTCTCCCAGCCTGATCCAGTGCTTGTTGTTCTCAGTGAGCAGTGCTTTAATTACCCAGCGTGCCAGCATGGCCTTAATTCGTCTGCCTGGATCCACTAAACCCATACCTCCTATTTGTCTCGGGTTGCAGATCAGATCCCATGCCACCTTTGACATTACCCCCTCCCCCTCCTCGGCGAAGGGTTTCCAGATGAATCTTGCGGTTCGTCTTCGGATTACCGTCTGCGTTTTCCTTCCCACCAGGCGAACGTTGCCGACGAACCAGATTAGCGCAAACAGGGCTGCGTTTACCGCCAACGCTCGGCCAAAGAGCGAAAGATGAGGGGCTTTTCCCCAGATTGATGTGCGCTGCATAACCTTCTGCTGTATGATTTGGTCCTGCTTGGCTCCACTGGGGAGCAGGGAGATCTGCACTCCCAAGAATCGCTCTGAATCTATACCTTTAATTCTTTTCATTCCCCAATCTACCGCTGGCTCAAATCTGTTAGGCAAGAAATATGCAGACTTCGTCCAATTAATTGCAGCTTCAGAAAGTTGCTCGTACTGTCGGAGGCACTGTCGCAATGCTCCCGTTGATTCTTTCGAGTTTTGAGAAACTGCGAAGAGGTAATCTGCCAATGCCTTCACCATGCAAGTTGACTCGTCCAATCGGAGTCCTTCAATTTCTGCGTGTGCTCGGATGTTGTTGAGTGGGACCTCCAGATGGATGACGAACAGCAGGGGTGCCAGCGGGCATCCTTGTCTCAAGGAGCGCGTAAGAGAAAAAATGGTCGAGAGATGTCCATTCACCATCACCGAAGCAGTGGAGAAAGAGTACAGGGCTATCACCCATGTACATAACATCTCGCCGAACCCAATCCATCTCAGCGTCGTAAGGACATACGACCAATTGACTCGGTCGTATGCCTTTTCCATATCCAACAACAACACCGCCACGTCACAGTCTTCATTACTGACCACCTCCAGTACTTCGATTGCTGTTACTATATTTTCAAAGATAGATCTACCCCTCACGAACGCCGCTTGGTCGTCTTGTACCAGCAAGGGAAGGTATTTACCCAATCTCCTGGCCAACATTTTGGCCAAGATCTTATAAGACACGTTGAGCAGCGAAATTGGACATCATTTTCTTATTTCGTTCATGTCCCCCTTCTTGAACAGAATCGAAATAATGCCTTTGCAGACACTGGTCAGGAGCCTTCCTCCGCAAAGCACTTCGTTATACACTTCCACTAGATTTTCGCCCACCGTCTTCCAGTGTGTCCGATAGAACTCAACCGGAAGACCGTTATTCCCAGGTGTCTTTCCGTTTGCCATCGCTTGCAGGGCCTGTGCCGCTTCCTCCTCTGTGGCCGGTCGGTCAAGGTCCAGTCTTGCATGTGTCAGTAGGCGGCAGGTTGTTCTTGTCCAGTGGTCTGAGTTGGTGGCCAGATTTGTGTGTGCCCCCTCCTCCGGTCTCCTCGATGTGAGGATGTCCTTGTAGTACTTGGCAGCGTAGGTGCACATCAGCTTTGGCTCTACTGCAACTGGTTCCTCTGGCTCAAACGGATGTTTGAGTTCCTTCATTGTATGCGTTGTTTTTGATGGAACCAGTTTTTGAAATGTCTCCTTTGACATTCTGTCATAGACTTTTATGCCCCGCACCTTCAACCTTTTTCCTGCTGTAGTCTATCCCTGTCCGCCATCCTGCGCGTTCTTTCCTTGCCCCAAGTGAGCTCTGCAATAGGATGTTCTTTCATTTTCCTCTCGGCCTCCTCCACTTTCTTCCAGCATTTTCGCTCCTCTTTGTTTCTCTGTAGTGTCAGTATCCTGGAGAACACATTCAGCAGGTTCGATAGTATGCGGGAACCCCCTTCCCACCACTCTGCGGTGGTGGCGAAACTCCCCTTCTGCTCCCCCCATTTTGTCCAGAACTGCTGTATCCACTCATTAAGTTGAGCATTCTTCAAGTTCTGTACATTGAGTCGGAAAAAACCTCTTCCCCGCTGCATCTCAGGTCCCATCTGCAGTACCGCGATCACCGGTTTATGGTCGGAGACCGGGTTATTAGTCTGGCCAATCTCTACCACTGCATCTTGAGCTTGTCCGGTTGTTAGGAAGTAATCCAATCGCCTGCCTCTTCCTTTCGCCGAAAACCATGTGAAACCGTCTCCTGCTGGGTGAGGGTCTCTATAAGAGTCCCTCAAGTCCCAGTCCGATATTAGATCCAGCATCGTTGCAGTGTCTCTCGCACAACCTCTGTTGCTGTTCGAGTTGGCATCCAAGGAAGTGTTCCAGTCCCTTGCCACGATCATATTATCCACGTCTGGAAGCACGATCTGCAGTTCCCCAAAGAAACCAATTTTCTGCTTACTGTCCACCGGGGCGTATACAGAGACGATCGCCCACTGTATCTCCTGAATCTCTAGTCCTATCCATGCCCAACGACCCCAGAGATCTGCGTAGTAGTCTACTATTAGTGCGTCTAGATCTCTATGTACTAGGATTCCCACTCCCCCCCTCGTTCCCCTAGCAGGGGAACAAATTTGCGGCCCATCCCACCATACTCCTAGTTATGACAGTTTTGCGCAGTCTAATTTAGTTTCTTGGATACATGCTATGGATATTCTGTTTTCATGCATCCACGACCTCACTCTGTGTCTCTTGTACCGCCCCCTTATATCCCCGAAGCCCTCCAGGTTCCAAGAGGCTATTCGGACTTTAACCATTTACTGCTCTGCTTCCCTGCTGTTCTTGGATGTGGGAGGATGCAGCTTCTTCTTGTGACCACGCCTGAGTCAGCGCCGAACGCAAGAATGACGAATCTAGCTTGCGGTCTTTCGGGTACCTTATCTTCAACTCCATGAGGCAGTCTGTTGTCCGCATGCTTGGAGAGACACTGATTTTGCACAGGTCCTGCCTTCGGGTTTCTGCAAATATCGTGAGTGGGACAAGTCTCATTCCTAGTGCTTCCATCGCCTCCAACTTTGACTCTGTGAACCTTGCGTCAATGAGTGGGACGAAGAGTTTGATCTTGTCCCCACTTGGACCGTGAAAAATTCGGGCCATCGGGATGTCCGGAATTATCCTTGTAAAAAAATAGCCCAGGTACAGGCTGTTTACCACCTCCTTAATTGTAGTCAGTGTCGGCATGTCCAACACCTGCTGGCCAAATAAGGTTTGGGGGCCTGCGTTTCGGTGCCACGTCACCACCCAAAAGTTGCCTCTCACCACTATACACAATAGAGGGACGATGTATTGCGGCATATCCGTACGGACGCCTCTTGCTGCTGTTGCCAATCGACGGTCCCTTGTCGTCTTGTTCCCTGGAGTGGCAAGTCCGACTTCATGGCTCACCGAATGTTCTGATTCGCTCCTGGAAATCCTTGATCTCTCTTGTTGAATGTCCGGTCCTAAGAAACTCAGTCTCCGCTGCTTCCCCGCCGACGTACCCCTCGAGCGGCTTGGGTTTCCTACCCCTTCACTTGTACCTGGCCTTAGATTGCTAGGCTATCCCTCGGTGTTGCCTCCTCCTAGTGGTCGTAGTGGTCGTGTTGGTGTTTCCGCCGTAGACTCTGTCGGTCTCCACCCTGGCATATGGTCTCCCGCCGGTCGATTCACCTGTCCGTCTTGTCCTGAAGTCTCCTGCCTTCTTCCTCTTGCATCACCTGGTGGGATTGTTCCTGGTCCTTGTGTTGGCTGTGGTAATTGGCCGCTACCTCCTTGGTTGCCCCGTGGCACTCCCCGTGTCTCCTCCTGCTGGTTTTGAGTGTCCGCCAGTCCCAAACCCTGTGCTGGTAACGTACCCGTCAGGTCAACGAAGCCCCTATTTGCCAGCGTCATTGCAGCCCAGCAGTAGTAGTTCCTGAGTGCATCTGGATCTTGAGGTAATGCTGCACCCTGCCAGGGCATATTTTGGCCCATATTGCCAAAGGGTGGCATCCCAAACTGCCCTACCTCTAGGCCAAAGCCAGGGGGCTGGGTCGATTGCCTGACCTCCCCATGGGGAGAGAACGTTGGATTGTCCCTAGTTGCCGAAGCGAACCTTGCCGCGGGCTGTCCTCCTTGTGTGGTCGGTCTTGGGCCGAGCGGTCCGTGGTATCTCGGGCTCGTCCCGTGTTGTCTTGCGTTTTCTGCTCGTTGCTGGCGGCTTGAGTCTCGTTGGTTGCCATTACCTCCCTCCTGGGGTCTGTTACACCCTCCTCTTCGGCACTCTTCTTCTGTATGGAAGAATTGTCTACATTTCCTGCACTTGATAGTATCCGAGCATGCAAGTCGGATCTCCAACTCATCTCCCGTTGATGTCTTGATCCAGATCTTGTCCTTCATATTCGGGCGAGCTTCTGGGTTGAGATCAAACTTCGCATTGACCAGAGCCGGTCGTTGCGGATCCGCGTCAGCTGGATGAGCACAAATTATCCTCCCGATTGCTTTCTCGATCTGAGCGTGGATGAATGTCATATCATCCAATGGTATTTGGACTGCCATGACCCAAAATGTGCTCTCATCCTCCTGCTTACGCATCTCCCTGAACTCAGCTCTCGTCATCCAGGGCTTGAATAGAACCTTGTATTCTTCTGTCCCTAGGGGGATTGTCAGACTTCCTTCGTTGATCATATAGCGCGCCACTTCCGGAGACTTGGCAACGTACGAAACTATACTGGGACCCTCCACCTTTACTCTTCCCCTTCGCATGTTCTCCACGAACTGATCATTTCCCATCACCCACCCATCTTCAAATGCCCTAACCAGATCATCTTTTATGTTTTTTGGGAGGAAACAGGCGGCATCCTTATAAATTATGGTTACCGTCCGTTCCTTTAACCATTTAACCTTGATGTCATCTAATGAGGTGTTTAACTTAAACCGGACTTCTCTTCCATCAATCGACATCTCCCCTGGATCGATTTCGGTAGGGTATATACCGTCGTCGAAGCAGAGTGTCAGCAGTTCCCGGATACGATCCTCATCCTCCCAATAATCTCTTTCCTCGTGCGGTGCTGGTGGCGGAGACCGGCCAGTAGCCTCCTGTCTCTCTCCTCCGTCCATTACTACTTCTGCCATACTTCTCTACTTACTGTGTCGTTCTTAATCTCTCGCTACCCTAGTTAGTCTTGTTGTGTCTTACCCCTTCAGAACCATGCACTCGGTTACGCCTTCTTCCACTTTCTTCAGAGCTGATGGGAGAGGGTGGTCCCCACCTGTCCTGCCGCTTATGGTCAACGAAGTAACCATATCCACCTCACGCGGGAGGTGCTTGTGCAGGGAACCAGCGAACTATCAACGACGGTAGCGCGCCGGGCGGTGGCTCGGATTCTGCCGAATCCGGTAACGCAGGGGCGGAGCGCGTTAGCGCCGGCCGGTGCCAGGCCCTCCTCCTGTCTAGTTGCGATTTTTCGGCTTATGCATGTCATCCATGCTGCTAATCTTTTTTTTTTTTTTTTTTTTTTTTTTTTTCTGGTTACGAAAAACAGAGCGAGCTAATGCTCGGGGTGCCCACTTAGTGCCAACGGACTGTGATAGTCCTCTGGATACCCCTGATCAGTATTAGCCGGGCTGCGACCAACACGGGTGTGAGTGCGAGAGCGAGTGGGTTGTGTGTGGTGTGTGGGAGAGCGTTGGCCGTAGATAGCCTCTGCTGCTACTCCATGAGGGGTGGGGGACCACGGTGAGAAAGTGAGGCGCAGCCGCTGGCAAAATGCTCTGTCTTTGCATTAGCCTGACCCCCACCGGCGGCCCCACCCCATCTCTGACTGCCGCTGTTGGGGCGGGGGGGAACATGAACTACCTCGTATGTGAGGCCCTATGCTTGCAGGGGTGTCCTTTAAAAAAGGAAAAAAAAAAAAAAAAAAGGGCGATGGCCTTGAGGTATTATCATCAGACTAACCAGCCCAGGTAAATTCAATATTGTGTCTAATCTGACATCGGGTGGCCTTTTCAGCCGAGGGTGGCCTTGATTGCCTTCAGGGAACCCCCACGGGCCAGGGGACGAGCATCATCTGAGTGGCCAGTTGCTGTGCCTCCCCGTGTGCCTCCCCGATTACCCCTCCCCCTATGGTGGGGGCCAAGTATGCCCAGGAAGGTACATGCTGAGGCCAATGGGGATTGAACCCAAGACGTCCTGAATGCCACTTGCGTGTCTTACCGAATGACCTAGGCCGCTGGATTTCTCTATATAGTCTTAGGAGTAATGGTAGGAAGGTAATGAAAGGCAAAAAAGAATTTGAGAGAAAAACATAGCGTATATATATTGCCCCGGCCGGGCAAGTTACCCCGGGCCACTCTGGTAGCCTAGTAAACTACGGTATATTCTTCTCTCAAATCTTTCATCATCTTTCAAATTCTTTCAATTCACCAGGTGGACGCTACAGCCAGGTCTTGAATGAAAATTTGAAAAAAAACTGATTGCGAGTTTGTCAGACAGAGATCCCTTCAAGGGGTCTGCCAAGATTTGGAGAGCCCTTACTTGCTTCACCATTTTTCATCCCTGAATAGTTCGTGGAGGGTGCAGCCTCTGAGACAAGTCTCGCAAAAATGAGAGGGTGGTATACAACCGTGTAGCTCGGTCGGTACGTCACGCGAGTGGCATTCAGGAGGTCTTGGGTTCAATCGCCCTAAGTTGGCCTCATGTACCTTCCTGGGCAAGCTTGGCGCTCTTTACCTAGAGATAGGCCATTGGTTCCCCCCCCCACCCCCCACTGAGCAGAGAATGCTGGGCCGTTGGTCCCCCCCCCGCGCACTGAGCAGAGAATGCTGATGTTACTACGGTCTTCCCGGAACATAACGCACCCTGAAAATGAACGTATACAAGGTATGTTTCTGGCCCGATACAGTCAAAATGAGGGTGCGTTGTGTTTGGGGGGCGAAGACGGTAGTAGGGGAGGCACAGCGAGTGGCCCATAGAGGAGGCTCGGTCCTGATGCTACTGTCTGACCCCTGGCCGGTATCAACCCCCCGCTGTAGCAGGTATCGCACCTGCGGGTGTGTGCAGCTTCTGGACTCTCCCTTGTTGGGCGCTTGAACACGGATGTGGCAGCTTCGGGCTTCCCTCTACTTATACTATAATGATGATAAAACAAGGCCTGAGAGGCACTCCTGTCCAGATTTGACAGGTAGTGGAATTGGTTGGACTGGTGACTGGTCTCTTCTCAGCAAAAGAATCAGTCTGAGAGAGGATGGTGAGTTGTCTCTTCTCAGCAAAAAAAATCAGAGTCCTTTTTGGATGGGACTTTCTGGACCCGGGTTCGAGCAGGGGCGGCTCCCCACCATCAAAAAAGAGATTTGGAGAGCCCTTGCCTGCATTGAATTGAATGAACTGTACGGCAGTACAGCATAAAGGATGAAAATCATGGTGTTTGGGTCTTTTGAGTAATTGACATTTTTTTTGAATAGTATGAATACAAAATTTTGTTATTTATTTATTTATTATTATTATTATTATTATTATTATTATTATTTTATTTATTGTTTTTAAGGGGCGGCCAGAGTGTCGTATGATCCAGGCACTCCGGCCTGGTTCATACGACAGCCGCTTTTGAATTAGAAAAGCCGGAAAACGGGTCCAGTGTCCCTCACACCATAGAAAAGGTTATAATCCATTCCTTTCTTTTTTTTTTTCTTTTTTTTTTTTAACTCGCCCTTGTGTGTGCTAGAGATGCTGATAAGAGCAGACACCTCTAGCACCCCGGGGGGGCTCCATCTATTGGTGGGGAGCGTCACCTGCTGGAAAGCAGGTCCAGCGTTCCATTTTACAAGAATCATTCAAATAGATGAAAATAGGGCGGGAGCGGGGGGCCTCTTCACCCTGACCCAGGGTGCCAGATACGTACATGTAACTACCTAGCCCCTCTCTCCCCCCAATTGCCACGTTGTCCTTCATCCCACACTCTGACTACTAGCACTGCCAAAGCCACTCTGGCCTACAGACTTCGGTGGCCTACAGCCTGCAGTTGGGGGCCGGCAGTGAGCCCCTGTCATCCTCTGAGTGAGGCTGGCGCTTTTCCTTCTGTTGCTCGCCCATAGCCTGCTATAACACTCGCCCCCATACCACGAGGCTGGTACCAGACAATTGGCCGGGGGGGGGAAGAAGTCCGGAAATTCTTCGCATGGCCTCAGTGGAATGGAGTCATCCAGCTTTGTCCAGTCATTGAAGAGGAGCTTGTAGTCTCGAATGATTGTCGTTGCCTCTTCCTTCGCTCCTGTTCCCTGTTGCCCCCCTCCCAGTCCACTTTCCCTATCCTCCCCCCGGTTTCCCCCCCCAGCCAGCTTTTGCAAAAGTTGTGTATTCTCTGTCTTATTTCTTTCACATCGTGCATGTGTTTAATCTGTGTCTTGAGTTCCTCCCATCTTGCTGTTATTTGTGTGTGTATTTGTTGTTGTATGCTTTCTGTGAATTCTGGCCCCTCCAACCTCACCCCTTCCAATTCGTAAGTGCAGCGCCGTCTCCAAAGCGCCCATAATACTGCCCTGCACCCTTGTTGAAAAATGTTAAGGGTGAATCCGTCTTGGTGGGCGGCAGCCCACTGTTCAAACAGCAGGGCTTTCCAGTCCCAGGGCCAGGTTACCCCTGTTCMTAGCTGATCCCAAACTCTGGCCYACCAGCGCCAGAGCCAGACCGCTCCGGGGCATTGCAGAAAAATGTGTTGTACTGTTTCCGGTTTCTTCCTAGAGGGATACGCATTGGAACATAGTCTGCACCAGGGAAGCGCGAGCCCTCTTTGTTCTAAGGTAGTCCTGTCTATCAGCCAGTTATTGGTCGGCAGACAGTAGTGTTCCATTTGCCACTGCGGAGAGGCCAGGTTTGCTGGCTTCTTTTTAGTCAGCTGGAACCATTTGACAGTCCTCAGCGCTTCCTTGCTGATATTCAAATGCTTCATCCATCTTGCAGCCACCTGGTCCTTCAGGTTGAGTTTGGGGCGAAGTAATCTGTATGTGGCTTTAACTGTTAAGTTGTACAATGTCCTAGTGGGATTTGCCTCTGCCCGTTTTGTTTGCCCATCTCCACTCTAGCGGGTCCAGGGGGAGGTGGGAGATCGGTGTGTCCGGGGAGAAGACCACCCATTGGTCCCCCTCTCGCAAGACCCTAATGCGAGAGAGGTCCTCTTTTTCCAGGGTCTGTACCTGTTCTGGGCTGGGTTTATAGAGGAGGTTCCCGTTGCCGATTTTAAAGATGTCAACCACCACTGGTCCCTGGGGGTCACAACTCACCACATTGCCCACCACCCCCTGGTAGTCGCRAATTGTTACCCAGTCGGACTCGTGTAGCGGGGGTCCTTTCCTCAAAATTTTCCACCAGTTCAGAGGGATGCACTCTATTAAGTTCTCTAATGYCTGCTCCAATCTGTGGCAATAGCGCAACTTTTCCTTAAGCTTTTCCGTCGCGATCCAGTAGCTTCTGTCCGCATCCCAGATGTCTTTGATTCGCAGAAACCCCTTTTTTACCCAACCTTTCCACGGGGAGTCCCGGCAATGTAGCATTTGGCCCCTTAGATTAGTTATCSTTCTGTTTCCGAACAGCGGCTGCCGGAGCACTTCTTCCCATCTCTCCGGTGATGTTTTGTCTGGTAGGRGAAGGGCCCGCCATGTTTGTAAGAGGGTTGGCCAGAATRGGTCCTTGTGCAGATCCGTTCTCACCTCTTGTCGTGGGCAGCTAGCAGGCGGGCCCTCTTGWTGAGGCYGCSTCTTGGGAATGGTCCAYGTTCTGTTCTCAATCCATGTGAGCGGGTCTATGTGGGCCGGGGCGTCTGGGGCCAGCCTTGCAATCTATTCCAGGGCCAGCTCCTTCCAAGGGATGTGAGGGCAGAAGAGCAGGCGTTTAAGGTATTGTATGGCCAGCGCCTTGACTTGTGTYGTGGGGTCAATTATACCCAATCCCCCTTTTACTTTGGGTTGGGTAATCAACTGCCATGCCACTCTGTTTAACACATTCTGTTTTTCGTGGTCCCCTCGCCATAGGAATGCCGCTATCTGCCATTGGAGGGGCCGTAGGGTGGCTTTGTCCAAGCCCCAGATGGCTGATCTATACCAAAGGGTGGCAAGCACAACATTGTTGATTACCAGAGTTCTTCCCAACAGTGAGGTGCGTTTATCTTTCCATAGGGCCAGTTTTTTCAACGGGGCTCTAGCTATCCACTCATTATTTGTTGTCGGTCTTCCGTTGGCTGTGAGGGAGACTCCTAAAACCCTGATCGGGGCCTCCTGAGGGAGCCATCTCACCTGAGGCTGTTTCGGTGGTCGCGCCCCTTGGTGGTGAATCCACCATCCCAGAGTTTTATTTCCCCAGTTCACTCTCATGTCGGATAGGCGACAG